CCCCCCCCTCGGCTCTAGCGGGGTTCTGTCGATCACGAGACCGTCCACGTCTCTCAAGCCCATCTTCCCGATAGTTCTGGCCTGCAGGGGGGGTGGGGACGCCAGACCCCAGACATCCATTGCCCAGGAGTTGGCCGAGTTTACGAGGGTCCCAGGTGTCCACCTCAGCCTCCTGAGGGCGCCCTTGTAGAAACTATTGTTGTTAGGGAGGGAAAGAGACAAAAACAGACGAAGCAAAGACAAACATGCCATCAAGGGAGGAAAATTGTGAGACTTGTATGGCAATCTGATTTTTATGTAGCCAGGCGTCAAAGCGCGTTTCGTTTGGCACAACGAGAAGAGCAGCAACGACGGCATCAGGGTAGACACAAAGGAGAATATCGATAAATGGAAACGGAAACTTGAACAAGAAGCCAGGCGTCAAAGGGCATCTCATTAGGACAGCAGCAACAACACCAACAACACCACTACCACCACCACCAACAACAACAACAGAGTAGACATCGACGGCAATCTCACGCCAACAGCAACAGCATCACCACACTCACCCCAGCCACGCCTGATAAGCCTTGCTGATGGTCACCGGGTCGACGCGGTGTACCGCTCCAGCTACCATCTGCCGGGCCTCTATCATAGTGCCCGGGTCCATTCGCTCATCCTCTTCCAGTGGGAGATCTCCCACCTGCAAATAAAAAACGAAAAAGAACATGCGATAAAAAAACACGACAGTAAATCGCACGTTTCTCGGAGTAAATAGTGAGTGAAAACTACTCGAACAAAAAACGCGGAAAAAAGGAGAAAAGAAAAAAAAAGTGAACACACCACACCACAAAAACACTCGTTTCTCCGAGTCAAAATTGGGTGGTGTTAGTCGAAAAAGCAAAAGCACCACCAGTTTGGAAAGTTTTCTAGAACAGGTAAAACACGAAAACATGGGTGCAAAACTACTACTACTACTACTACTACCACTACTACTACGACCACTACCACTACCACTACTACTACTACTACTACTACTACCACTACTACTACTACCACTACCACTACCACTACCACTACCACTACCACTACCACTACTACTACTACTACTACTACTACTACTACTACTACTACTACTACTACTACTACTACTACTACTACTACTACTACTACTACTACTACTACTACTACTACTACTACTACTACTNTACTACTACCACTACTACTACTACTACTACTACAACCACTACTACTACTACTACTACTACAACTACCAAAAACAACATCAACCACAACCAACAGCAACACCAAACAACCTACCTCCCTGATGAATCCCTTCTCAGCCTCAGCAAGGACCAAGAGACCGCTGCCTCCCTTCCCAGCTCTCGCGGTACGGCCCAGGCGGTGAACGTACTGGTTAGTGTCCGACGGGAGACCGACCTTCCACGATTAAACCGGGAAATTACCGCATAACAAGTTAGCACCGGACGGGAGACCGACGTTCCACAAAGAAAACCGGGTAATTACGCATAACACAATTTTAGTGCTGGGCTGGAGACGACCGATCACAAAATCGGGTAGTCAAAAAAGAAAAAGAAGCAAGGTTGAATCGAACGGGAGAGGGAGTGACCTTCCATAAAGACACCACGTAAATGACCGCAAAACGAGTTAGCATCGGACGGGAGACCGACCTTCCGCCGAGGAAACCGGCTATTTACCCCAAAAAAGCAAGGTATTACGGGGCTGGAGACGACCTATATCATCATTTTGGGTAGTTAACGCAAAAAAAAGCAAAATTAAACCGGACGGGAGACCGAACTTTGACAAGGAGAACGGCGTGGGTAGGGCAAAAAAACAAGGTAGCGGGAAGTGAGACAAACGAGAATTCAGACGACAACGACATTTGCACGACTATCGGAATGGCCATTTCGGGGTTTTCTCTCACGGTGCCTCGGTTTCGCGCGGTTCGTGCAAAATCGGACTGCTGACTAACCGCGCCGCTCCGCTCCGTAGCATCAACACGCAAAACCGCTCCGTTCTGTGAGACTTTTTCCCCTGGGAAAAATCGCTCCGCTCCGTGACTATTACAAAAGGCGAAATCCGCTCCGTGAAAAATTCCAAAGGAAAAAAAACGTTCCGCGGTGCGGTTCTACTCCGTGAACAACCCTGACAAAGAGTCACCCCCCTACAGATCCCGAACACCCTCAGCAGGATGCAGCGCATACTCCATGAGACTCGCCGAATGAACGCCTCACGGCGCTCCGCGCTTGGTGATGTGAGAGCCTGGTCCGGTGCGAACCCGGCGTGCTCCGTCCCGGCT